GGCCAAGCAATGTCGGCTGGCGACCCCCAGGGGGAGGGCCTTCTCTGTGGGTGCCCCCACCCTCTGGAACGAACTACCCCCCGAGATCCGGACGATTCCGGATCTCCTTACTTTCCGCCGCGCCCTCAAGACATGGCTTTTTCAGCAAGCGGGCCTGGCCTAGGGAGGATTTTAAAAATATTCGGTTTTAATTGGTTTTTACTTCGGTGGGGTTATATGTTTTTTAATATGTTGTGAGCCGCCCTGAGTCCCGTTGGGAGAAGGGCGGGATATAAATCAAATAAAATAAATAAATAAATAAATAAATAAATAAATCATCATCATCATCATCATCATCATAGAAAAATAGATTCTAGTATATAGTAAGGTATTCTAAAAAGCTTGCACTTCTGATGTTTTCTTTGCAGACTAGACTTTATGTCAAATTTAGAATCTTGACTTTTAGAGTTTTGACTTTGACTTTTGCTTTTTTATTTTGATTAATTTGTCCTAATTTTGGAATTGAATGTCCAAACACTTCAAAGGGTTACCTATACAGTCTTTTCCAAACCATATTTTTCTAAATAAAACTATTAACAGTTAGAAGAAACATTCACAACCGCATTCACGATTACATGTTAATGGTGTTTTGATTCCTACAAATTTGTTACTTTCTTTCAGGTGCTCAGATTATTGACTTGATGATGCTTGTGATAGATATAACTAAAGGAATGCAGACTCAATCAGCAGAGTGCTTGGTGATTGGACAGATTGCGTGCCAAAAGATGATAGTGGTTTTGAACAAAATTGACCTTCTTCCAGAGGGTAAGCGACAAGCTGCCATTGACAAGATGGTGAAGAAAATGCATAAGACCCTTGAAAATACTAAGTAAGTAACCTGCCCAACCTGTTTACATAATACGAGTTGCATTACTCTCATTCCTTTTTCTATGCCACTTAGGAGTTTTTGATGAAATTCCTTGAATTGAGTGTATTTCCTTAGAATAAAACTTTAAATTGAATGTGTTAGTCAGATAAGGGGGTAGACATTTTGTTGTTGTTGAAAGCCATAGTTGTTCAAAGATAATCTGTTAGAAGTTGAATCGATTGTGGTTTGTAACATAGGTAAAAGTGAAGGGGGAGACACCTGTTGTCTTTCTGACACTCCTCTTTTGTGCTGTGTCTGACACCCCCTCCTCTTCTACAAAGGAGTAGATAGCTTTTATCAGGTAGAATAGAGGAATACTCTTGATGAAAGGTTAACTCTCCTTACATTATAGAGGTTGTTTTTTTTTTTGAGATTGTCAACTGAAATAGAAATGAAGGTTGACCTATACACTTTCTAAGGTTTATTACTGAAGTTATTCATGAAAGATGCTTAAATTAATTTTGTGATCAAGGAATCATTTGGGTACTGTTAGTTCTTGCTTAACAGTGATAATCGGGATTGGAATGTCTATCAATAGGTGATGCTGCCTTAAAGTGTAATCTCCGGAGACTATGCCGCATAGCAACAGCAGTTTGGGAGTCCCTGATTCCCATTGTTTAAGTGAGGAGTTCATGTGATTGCAAATTCTGACTTCCTGCCGACTTCCCCATTGATTTAGCTTGTGGAAAGCCGGTGGGGAAGGTCACAAATTGTGAGCATGTAATTACCAGACATTGCTATGTTCAGAGAGCCAGTCCACTTGCTGAGCACCTGGATCACAATGATATAATCACTATGGGGATGCATCATAGTGATGGCTGGAACTTTGAGGATTGTCATAAGTACCACTTGTTTGGCACCATTGCAAGTTTGAATGGTTGCTGAACCAATGGCTGTTAAATGAAGACCACCTGTGTGGCTACCTAGTTTAAAAATCAGAAAATAAAGAATAGAAATAATGGGCAATTTTTCCAGTGGAGTGAAGTAAGAAGCAACGTTCTTCAAGGATATGAATTAGGATCAGTTCTTTTTAAATTATTTATAAATGATCTTGACTGCAACATGCAGTGAGCTAACCAAGTTTGCAGATGAAATCAGGATGGAAAAAACCAAGGAACTTTTTTTTTAAATGAATAGTGAAATAAATCACACATACGATTCAGCTTAAATAAATGTAAAGTGATGTAATTGGAACAAAAATAGTTTAGGAATACATTGCTGGCATGTGAGCTATTTTTATCTGACTAGGAAAAATATCTTGGAATTATAATGGATATGTCAAAGATATTGAACTGCTATGAAAAAGCAAATTCTAGATAACAATAATTAGAAAAGAAATTGAAAATAAACTTTATAATGTTGCCTTTATGGACTGTGTATATCTGAAATGTTGTGTAGAGTTCTAACCATTTTTGAAAAAGGATATAAGAGAGCTGGAAAAAAAGTATAGATGAGTGCAACCAAAATGACCAAGCAGCTCTAAAATTTCTTATGAGAAAACATCAGCGTGTGTGAGAAAAATGATGCAGGGTGAGGACATGATTGCAATATACAAAATTATTTGTGGTGAGGAGAAAGTGTATAGGGATAATTGTTTCTTATCTCAAAATACTAAAACCAAAAGTATCTAAATGAAGTTGATTGGATGAAGACTTAGAAAAGGGAAAAGAAAATATTTTTTCGCACAGCACCTGAAATGCGATCACATGAGATTTTATGACACCCAGTTCTGCCCTATCATAATTTCAAACAGTCATAAAGCAACCAGTCGTAAGTTCAAGGACTATCTATATTCTGTTGCATATGCTGCAAGAATTCTCCATCCTTTGTATTAATCATGGATTTTTGGATCTATCCAAGGATCCTTCAACATTCCACAGCAGATTTTGGGTGGAATGGGGGATGCGAAAAGGAGGAAGAATTCATTATACTAATGGTATCTGTTCCCTTTGAAGTCCAGGGAGTAACAGTTACCATCCAGATAGTACCCCAAGGAACAGAGATGTGGGAGAACCGTGGCTGTGCTGGAAAAGAAAATATGTAGGATGTGAAGAAATGTACATTTATAAGACTAACAGAGATTATAGATGCCTCAACTACAGGCTCCGTGTGGGCACTGGTACAATAAGGTTTAACCCCTTATTACTTTAGTGCCCTAATTTGCTCCATGACCCAAAATAATGTTTCTGATTGGCAGATGTTTATGCCAGTTTTGATAGATTTAGAAAATAATTTCAATTCAATTGGAATGTAGCTGCAACCTTGGAATTGACCTCTGCAGCATTCTGTTTCATGCCATGTGTTGTCATTCAGTTTTTCATATCAGTGACGTTGGCTTTGATCAGTCTTGAATATATTCAGCTGTATGTATGGTTCATTTTTTCAACTAATAGTAGTGACATTCTTAACAAGGTCTGGAAAATAGTCATTATTAAATTCTGCCAAAATGTTTTCTTTTGAAGTAAAGGTGTAGCTACTTATATACTTGTGTTTGACTTGAAATTCTGGATTCTTCCTGATTTCTTTTCAGGGGCCCCTTCAATCCCATATCCATTTCACAGAGGTGTAAGGATATTGTGCCTTAAAGAAGGCCCCTTCTCAGGTTAAAAGGCACTTATTTTGTCTGAATTTCTTCTTTTCTGCTAATTCTCCCTGACAATAGTCTTCTTTCTCTGTCCCTCTCCTCTTTTCAACTCATAAAAAGTACTTGTGATTTGGTTTATCAGTTAAATTTCTTGTTGAGCATATTGTTAAGGCACTTTGTTAGTACTTATCATAACAATGCCAACATCAGTTTTTCTGTACAATTTAAATAATGTCCAGGAGTCAATAACTTACCTAGTGTTGATAATACTCAATGATGTATTATGTATTATGTACTTAATGATGTATCTTAAATGAATAAACTGAATTTAAATATATTACTGTTAGAAATAGCAATACTTAAACTAAGTAGTTAGGTTAAAACTATTTTTAAAAATGATGTTTTGCTGGGGAAATTTGTACCATTTGATATTCTTCCATATATTCCTCAAATGTATTTTTTTTTAAAAAAAATAATGCATTGTTTTAGAAATATTATTTCCTTAATATTTCACTCAAAAAGCTTCAATTATTAGGAAACAATATAGAAATAGAAAACAACTTCTATGGATATGTTATAGCTGTTGAAGATTTCTGAGGTGACTTCCATGCCTTTTCTGATCATTTATTTCTGCTATGGCACGTGAGATACATTATGATATTGGCCTAAAAGATGACTGGGAAGCCAGATATTGATCAGATAAACTGTAATTTACTTGGCTTATTGGTAATTTGACTCTGGCTTGTTTAACAAAATATGCCTGGAATAAATGTTAGTTTAGCATTAAGAACATTCTTTCAGTGTTGAAGTGATTGAGTTCCTATAGCTGAATTTCCTCGGCACCATGAAGAAAATAGGAAAGTAACAAACTTGTCTAGGTAATAGCTTAATTATGCTGGTGAAAGTAAAAAACCAATCTGAGATGCTACAGGAAATTAGATTATCCTATTATTTTGGAGCCAATATTACAGGAGGCTATCCACAAGAAATATGAAAGTCTCCTTATGAAGGCTTCATCTGAGCCTTTCAGAGCTCAGGTTAGCAAATCTTCAGTAGTTGGGGGTCATTCAAAGCTGTATTATTTCCAATTATGCCTCTTTCATTTTAAAAACAATTTAGAAACTAGTTAGATTATTGTTTTTGTTAAATTATTGCTAGAGATAGATTCAAATTTAATAAAATAGTGATGTTATGTAAACCACACTAGGAAAAGTCTGAGTTGTAACTTTATTATATAACTGGTCTCATAGATGGATTTTTTTTATGGACCAGGTTCCATGGATGTCCTATAGTTTCTGTGGCAGCAAAACCTGGTGGTCCAGAAGCCCCAGAAACTGTGACTCCAATAGGAGTTTCGGAATTAATTGAGGTATGTATCATAAAAATGCTAATGTTATTAATATTATGTAATGGCTCAAGGCTGCAGGAATAATCAGAATCCTAGTTCAGTGGACTGGTAAACACTCTGTTGATAATAGAGTGGTAGAAGCCCATGCAATTTATTTATTCATCTTATTCCATTTAGATGCCACCAATACCAATTGACTCTGGGCAGTGCACATCATAAAAACACACAATAAATATACAAACCAAATAGAAATTGCTTATCAGAAGCCAGATGATAAGGTCACAAATGGCAGTCTCGGAATGCTGCAACCATCATAAATACATGCCAATTGTCAAGGGCCCAAATTTTGATCATGTGACTATAAGGGCACTGTAATAGTTGTAAGTGTGAGGAACAGTCATAAGTCACTTTTTCAATGCCATCGGAACTTCAAACAGTCACTAAATGAATGGTTGTAAGTCAAGAATGACCTGTATACAGTCAGCACAGAATAAGTATAGCTTGTATTAATTTCATCTTGATTTCTGACATTTTTGTTATTGGGATTTTGGATACTGCATCATAATTATATACCTACTCTGAAATTCCTTCTGTCTTAATTTGCCTTTTGTTTTCATGTATTGGAAATAAGTTCCACTGATTTTAGTAGGCCCTACTCTTAGATAATGTATAGAATTGAACTTTTCTTTGTTCATGAACAGTTTTGCAAATGAGTCTTCTATATTTTCATTTCTTGAGTGAGAGCTGAGACTGGTAAATGGATCATGGCTTGATGCATTTACAGCAGGTTTGTAGAACTACATACCATTCACAGATAATTGAGTTGGCAAAAATTGGAAAATCCTACCAGTGATTGGAAAGGGCTGAATTAAAATTAAAAGACAGCACTGAGACACTGATTAAATCAGCATAAGAACAGGCACTAAGCACCAGATCCATAGAAGCAGAGATGCCTCAGAGACAGTCCAACACATAGTGATAGGGTGTAAGATGCAGGCAGAAACAGCATGTACTGAACAGCACAACCAAGCAGCTGGCATTGTGTGCAGTAACATCTGGTGGTGATAGATTTAGCTGTGCCAAGTGACAGCAACATCAGGAAGAAAGTGTATGAGAAGCCAGAGAAATACAGGGCCTGAAGGAAGAAAGTAGGTGGCTGGTATGTATCTTCTTCAATCCCGGATCCTCTATCAGAGGCCTGGGAGTTTGTGGGTTCTGTGCAGTGTTTTACTGTTCCTAGCACTGCACTCTTCTGGATAGAGAGCTCTGGACAGAGAGTTGTTCCTGGGATTGCAGTTCTCTTATTATTATTTATTTAGTGTGTGGCATATAAAACATGGACTAGCAATATATATTAACATTTCATCTAGATTATCTAGATTAGCAGAAGTCAATAAAATATAAATGTTAAAAAGATACATGTTCAAATGCCAATGTCTAGGCCATTTAACCATTGAAGCGCAGCATTGTTTATATTAAAAAAGTCAGATGCTGGACCAGTATATGCCCACAGTTTACAGCCGGTCTTGATGTGATCAGCTCTAGGGGCTCCTGCCACCAGTGGGGCCATTTTGGCATTTACTTTCTCCAGTTCCTCATTCAGGTCTTGGTACTTCTCCAGCTTCTCATACTCCTACTGACTGATCTTGAGCTTCTCACACCCCTTCTTCCTGAATTTTTTTTCTTCTCCAGCTGCTTATTCTTAGTGATGTATTTCTGGATAGAGCTAATGGAAAATGAAACTTCAATTGTCAGTGTGCCTTTATTGTTCTTCAAAACCTTGCCATAATTTTTCTATTAGTCATAGTTGTAAAAATAAAGGAGAGTAAAAAACATTCTGAATTTTGACCTTTTAATTATGTATGTACATTCTGAGAACTAGTACGCACCCTTTCTTCCCCAGAGTTACAAATAGTTATTGCCGCTGTATTTGCATACGTGTTGGCAGAAACTTTTCTGTGATATATTTTGCTAACCAGGCTGATTGCGCTGCATCAAAACTTTAAGGCAGAAAATCAAATCCAGTTGTTGCTGCTGCTATGTCTGCACCTCCTGGGCAGTGCAAACAATTTATCTGACCTTGGACTGTTCCAGTCTTGTTGCAACAGAAAGCTATGCCGTAGTGAAATCAATCACATACCTTTTCTCTTCATTTCTTTGTGTCTTATGTGACATTTTGTCAATATACAGGTCTCATTTTCTCTTGCTTTTAGGTCCTAAAGTCAGAGGCTTATATACCAACAAGAGATCCTTCAGGATCATTCCTTATGGCCATTGACCACTGTTTTTCCATTAAGGGCCAAGGCACTGTGATGACAGGAACTATTCTTTCAGGCTCAGTTAATATTGGGGACAATGTAGAAATTCCTGCTTTGAAGGTGAGTATATCATTTTTGGCTTTAACATCTTCATCAGAGAGAGAAAAGGCCAGAAAGTTTGCTGTTCCTGTAGTATTCCATTTACCTAACTAACTTTATTTGGTTTCCTTAATAGGAACTTTAAAAACCCTTTAGGGAATACTATACAGAATTGTGTAGTTCTTAATATATTACTATTGGCATGATTCACAAACTATATACTTTGCAAGCAAAATGGATGCCTGAAGCTAGTCATCAAAAGGTGAGAGTCCAGAAAGAAAGGAGATATTTTTAAAAAAAAAAAGTTAAAAAGAGAAAGAAACTCAAATGTTCAAGGCACTTAAATAGAGAAAACATCTCATCTGATTTTACTGGTGAAGAAAAATGAGAAGAAACCAAATTCAGGATATTTTAATGAAATAAAAACAACAACAGATTAACACTATATTTGGCTGCAGTCAAAAGTGTCCAAGAATCCAGTTTGGTCCTTCCTGGAATAAATGTTGATATAAAAAAGTCATTCAAGAAAATCTTATTACGACATAAAATAATAATATTCTTGCCTTATAATGAAGAAAATGACCAGCAAACAAAGACATGTAAATGAAAAAATATCAAATTAAAGGATAAATAAGAAATTTCTAGATCCAGAAAAAGCCTATTTTTAGTGTTGAGTTTGGCAGCCATCTAAATTCAGTTACCAACCAGTTGGACTTGGTGATTGAATTCCGTTTTATCTAAATGTTCCATCCTTGCATTTTAACAGCAACTTAATCTTTTCAGTTGGCCAACCGATTAACATAATAGAGATATTTTTATGGTGATGCTTTCAGGGTATACTATGCTCATTACATAGGAATATCATTTTATTTATATATTACATCATCAAAATAAAGCAAAGCTTTTATAGGAATCAAAAATATAAAACCACCATAAATACCAAACCTATTAATCCTCCCACTTTCCATAAAATAAAGACAGTACCCAAGTAAAAAAGCCTCCCCCGCCCCCCAAAAAAACAAGAAAAAAATGAACCAAAGAGGCAGCTTGATTTATTTGTATTTCAAAATTTTAGGCCACCGAACTCCAGTGACTCTGAACAGCTTAGTATATAAAAACAACTCAAAATAAACCCCAAAAGACAGTGTCATGTGGAAGGGACAACAACAAATTCTCTCCCTCACCCACAGAGATACCTTCATAGTGCCCAAATGCTCCATGGAAGAGAACTGTCTTTTCTTTTGAGAAAGCAATAAAGACAACGCTTTTGAGCCTCAGAATTAAGCTGAGAATGATTACTGGATAGAATGCCACTATTATTCAGCATTCAGCATAGCTGTAATTTTAAGTAAGCATGCATCTCCCCATTCCACATATATATGGATATGGACAGTTGAAGTTACAATTGGAGATTAAATTTGTTTTCCTGTTACCTATTTCATGAAGTGTTTAACTAGGATGCCTGTGGGAAGTTTTACCAATTCTCAATCCTACAAAGCAATAGAAAAGAAAAATCTTATAACACGTTGTGGATTATGACATTCCTTGACCTTTCTTTGCCCTGACCTTTTGCTAACTGAGATTGACAGCTGATGCCCACTGGGCATTGGGGACATTGCAAAACAGCTGCTTTCCAAGCGCAAGGAACCCTCCCAGCAAATAAAGTGGCATCTCATACCTATTCTACTAATAGACTTCGACGTGTGTGACCGCTTGAACTTGCCGAAAGGAGGGACAGAGCAATTAAAAATAAACAGTGACATTCTCAAACGCCCATACTCTCTGATTGAGGTTGAGAATGCCAGCAGCACACAGATTCCTTTACAGTGTTGACTATGTAAATTGCCATCTGGGGTTGATTATTTGAACTGCAGTGAGAGAATGTTATGTGCTCTGTGTGTGTGTGTGTGAGAAATCTCTGACGTAGCAAACAATTCTTCAATGAAGCAGTTTAACACTACTTACTCAACAGTACTTACAGTAACATCCATGCTGAAGCACATGAATCCCTTATTTCTGGTTTGAAAATGTAGTGATAATACAATTTTTTACTAGCCTCTGGTATTATGTACATTTTTAAAATTGCCATGCATGTGATATGTCTGTTGCCATTTCCATTTTAGGAATAACATTTCTGAGTGCTAATATCCAATAGGACATTTTCTCTCTTTTTTAGATGGGAAGTGATTTAATACAATTGGGATTTGCATTTGCCTAATATTCCAATATATGCACCGTGTGAAAGACCAGGTTAGGGACAGATTGTCAGGGAAAAAGTCTGTCTGTGTGATCACTAAGAGCCAACAACAACTTGAAGGCATACAATCAATCAATTCAAAAACATTGAAGTAATTTCTTAGTTTGATGACTGGGTATATTTTATAGGCTGTAAAAATAGTTGTATGCCATATTATACAAATTGATTTGTGATTAATTGAAAGTACTGTTTTTCAAATCTCAGGTTTTCATTTTCTCTAGGTCACAGATGTCAAACTTACTGCGTCACATGACGTGTCGCGACGTATCGTGACTTTTTTTGCATTGCCAGAGCTGGGGTGGGCGCTGCCTCTGTACGATGCAACCGGCCCACAGGCCGGCAGTTTGACACCCCTGCTGTAGGTCCTAATTTTTTCTAAAATTGATTTTATCAGTTGGAAGTAGGTGACCTACAGTTGATTCAATCTATGATAAGCACTTTACAGGAGGCATTCTTTTGCTATGACAAATAGTATACTTGAGTCAATACTCATATATTTGAGATGAGTGGATGTGTGCCCCAGCAATCCAGTTGAAATAGATTTGGAAGACCATTGTGGTATAATTTTTCAGTATGGTTTTTGGAGTTTATTTTGCTATGCTTAAGTTGGGTTGCCACATTTTTGTTATTTTTCTTAACCATAGTTCTATATTTGTTCATCACTGCTGTTTTGGGGGTGTCTATTTATTATAATCTGTCTGTTGTACATTTTTTCACTGAGAGTTATTTTCAATTATGATGTCATATAAACATATAGATAGGTACATCAGAGGACCCATTTTGAGTTGGAAAACTGCAGAAACTTTAAAGTTCTTTAGTCTTGTTTCTTGGTTTACACTACACCTTTTGAAGGTAATACCTTAAGTTTAAGATTCTTAAATCATTTGTATAAGTGCACGGAATAGTTTTATTGAGAACAAACCTCTCCCAAAGTTTTGGGTAGGGGTAATACAATGATTAAAAATTTAATTATGTTACAATAGAATACACTAATTTTTTAAAGCCTATGAGTAATAATAGTTGTGCTGTAATTAAAAACAAAACAAAGAATTTCAAATGTGCATGTAATTTAATACATATTTGCAAGTATTTGCAAATTTCAAATAGATGGTTTGGTAAGGCAAACTCAGTCCTTATCATCCTCTCTTTTCTTTTGACTAAAATATTCCTTCAAATTGTCTCTTGTTGAACTACGTATGATGTTGTAGTTATTGGGAGAACAAAAAACTGAGAGAACAAAAAGATGGGACAACAAAAAAGTTGTGGGAGAACAAAAAACTGGGCTAGGTAAAGGTTTAATGTAATCCTGTGCAGCTTGTTTTCTGGTCTTATTTCCAAAAGATGTTTTACTTAATTACTACCATATATTTTCAATATTGCTTCCATTTTTCTAGATGTACTGTAGTATATGAGTTTCAATTCAGAATTGATGTTAAGTTTTGCAAGTATTTATAAGAACTACAGTAAAGAAGGTTAAC